CACACTTGAGATGGAATTGTGGGAAATAACGCCGTCTACTCCTTGCGTGTTCCTGTTGCGGTCGGGAACGCACGCCTGACGAAGGGAACCTGTCGGGGTGTCTGTCTTGTACGATTTATTTCCTCCGTCGGCCGAGGGGAAAGCCTTGAGACGATTCCCGGGTTATGAATGGATTGTCTTCTCTTGCCAGATTGGTTGTTTTGTCTGTGCGTTGTTCTTATGACGTGGAGTGTCCCTTTTTGGTTTCTAAGATTGTGTACGAAATGTGTTCTCTAAGTGAGTGGCGTTAGGGATATATATGTACCTTTAGAAAGATAGATATATGGATTGATCGATAGATAGATTAAGATAAATGAATAGATAGATGGAGTTCACGTATTTTTGTTTTTGTTTCTGTTTCGTTACGAAATAAAAGTAATTCACGTAAATAAAATCAAACATATAGAAAGATTGATAGATGGACTGATCAATAGATAGATTAAGATAAATGAATAGACAGATAGAGTTAACGCATTTTTGTTTTTGTTTCTGTTATGTTACCAAATAAAAGTAATTCACGTAAATAAAGAAAAAATATATTTTTATTTTTTCAGGAGGGAAGCTGGAAGGTGAACACGGACGTGCCTCACGAATTCAACCGATTCTGAAAACCGACTTCGAGAAGCCCTTGAAAGGGTCACTCACCGAAACGAGACTGTCAGCCGTCCCTCCTCGAAGCTGACGGTCAGCGCCCCTCGTCACACACATTTAAAAAAAGAAAAGAGACATAAAAAAAAAACAAATAAAAAAAAAAAAAAAAGATAAACCTCAACCCCACTCCATCACACCCTCCAACACACTCCGGGGTGATGGATTCCTGGTCGAGAAAAAGGGCAGGAGTGGCTCGTGCTGTGGAGGGCGTGGTGAAGCGTAGGAAGCACATCGTCCTCGTGGGTCTCGACGGCTCAGGCAAGACCACAGTGCTCACGCGCCTCAAGTACCGTTGCTACGTGGCCACCACACCTACCATAGGCTTCAACCACGAGAAAGTAAGTTGGCCGTCGGAGGCTTGGGAGAGAACACGCGGCTGGACTCGCTGTTGTGTGAAATATGTTGGATAATATGTATGTCTTTTTGTTTGTATGCTGTTCTGTTCTCTCGCTTTCTCTTTGTCTTTCTCTCTCTCTCTCTCTCTCTCTCTCTCTCTCTCTCTCTCTCTCTCTCTCTCTATCTATCAATCTATCTGCCGATCTATCTATCAATCTATTTATTTATTTCTCTATCTATCTATGTATCCGTCTATCTACCTTCCTACCTCTCTTCCTCCGTTTCTCTTCCCTCCCTTACATCAAAATTTACCCTTCCTCCCCCACTCACGCCCCTCTCCCCCCTTCCCCCACCAGGTCTGGGGCGGCGGTTACCGGTGGTCGTGCTGGGACGTGGGCGGCGGCGAGCGACTCCGGCCGCTGTGGTCGTCCTACACCCGCGCCACCGACGGGATCGTCTTCGTGGTGGATTCGGCTTCCATGGGTGACATGATGGAGGAGGCGAGGGTCGAGTTGGCGAGAGTCCTTAAGGTGAGTCTCGAGGGACAGATGGTCTCCTTTCTTTCGTCTGCTGAGGGCGGTGCGGAGGGGCGGGCGGGCGGGCGGGCGTGGTCGTCGGGGATCCTGGCGGTCGTCGGGGGTCCAAGGTGGTCGTCTGGAGGAGGGGTAGCGGCTGGGAAAGGGGGGGGGGCGGTTGCGTAAGGAATTAGGCCGCCGCGTTTGCAATCATTGCGATGGGCGTGAGCGGAATTTGGGGACGTACATGTGCGTATAGAAGATAGATATAAGGAGGATTGATCGATAGAAAGATTGATAATTAAATAGAAAGATTGATAAGTAGATAGAAAGATAGATAGAGGATTGATTGGTAGAAATTGATAATAGTAGATAAATAGATTGAGTGAGAGATGAAATAGAGATTGAGATAGATAAATACATAGATATATAGAAAGATAGATAGATGCATAGATGATAGATAGATAGATAGATAGATAAACAGATAGATAGATAGATGGATGAATTGATAGATTGTTATCGAGCACATCAAGTCCATATTATAACCAGCTGTTTCTCCCTTGACAGAAGTCGCGGGCGTCGTCAGTACAGCTCGGCATGCCTTCCCCGCCTCTTCTGGTGCTGGCGAACTCCAGGTAAGAAAGAGAGAGAAATAGAGAGGGAGAAGGAGAGAGAGAGAGAGAGAGAGAGAGAGAGAGAGAGAGAGAGAGAGAGAGAGAGAGAGAAGAGAGAGAGAGAGAGAGAGAAGAGAGAGAGAAGAAAGAGAAAGAGAAAGTAGAAAAAATACAAAAAAGAAGACAAATATATATACTGAAGAAGAAGAAAGAATATATGCAAAGGTAAAAAGCGAGAAGGACACAAAGACAAATAACCGAAGAGAGACAATAGAGAAGAAAATAGAGTAAACAGTAATCAGACAAAAAAAAAAAAATAGTGGCCCCAATGTAACTAGTCACATCCCGACTCGCACTCGAATCAGACCCCGACTTTAGAATAATGTTTCAAGTTATTAAATTTAAAATGACTGACGTATCCTTTTTCAGTCGAGCTGCAGGTAGGGAGCTAACGCAGCAAGTGTGTGTGGGGTAGCGTGTAGTCCCACCATAACAGAGGCTGGAGTGCCCGTAGGAGGAGAGGAAGTGGAGGAGGGGGAGGGCAGGAGAGAAGGAGAGGGAGGGAGAGGAGAGAAGGGAGAGAGGGAGAGAGAGAGAGGAGAGAGGAGAGAGAGGGGAGAGAGAGAGAGAGAGAGATAGAACGAGAAAGAGATAGAGATAGAGCGAGAAAGAGAAGAGAGAGAGAGGGCGATAGAGATAGATAGAGAGAGGGGGAGAGGGGGGGGCGGGGAGGAAGAGGAGGTGAGGAAGACGAGTTCCTGCGGGGGAGGATGAGGCCGTGTGAACTCCCGCTGGTCCTGCTGGGGAGGGGGAGGGAGGGTGTCCAAGCCAGAGGAAGAGGAAAATGAAGGACAGGGAGAGAGAGAGAGAGGAGAGAGGGAGAGGGAGAGATCAGAGAGAATGAAGAGGGAAAGAGGCAGAGAGAGGAGAGAGAGAGAGAGGGAGAGAGGAGAGAGAGAGAGAGAGAGAGAGAAAAAGATTGGAAGAGAGGGATGAAGAGAGAGAGAGAGACAGATAGAGAAAGAGAGAGACAGAGAAAAAAAAAGATTGGAAGAGAGGGAGGAAGCGAAGGAGTTGTCCTTCAGCTCAAGGGGATGGACAAGGATTAGAGTAAGGATGTGTGTACAGATGAGGAAGGATGTGAGGAGGAAGGGCTGCGTGAAAAAGACAGACAGACAGAGACTGGCAGACAGAAACAGACACATACATAGACATACATGAGTACAGACAAAAGACACAGACAGACAGACAGGCACACAGACACACAGACAGACATGAGTACACACAGACAGACATAGGCATACAGACATGAGTACAAACACACAAACACACAGACATACAAAAAAAGAAAAAGAGAAAACGAAGAAAGATAAGCGAAGGGAGAAAGAAGGGAACAACAAGCGAAAGCGTGCAAAAGCAACGGCGAATAAACGGGGAGTATTAAGGAGTCAAGTGAAGGGCCGAGAGACCGCGCACGAGGCTAAGGTATGCATGGGCGTGGAAGGAGGTTAGCGAGGGCGTGAAAGGTGTAAGTCGGGAGTTAGTGTAACGTGAAGGAGTTAAAAAAAAAAAAGGGCAGTGGGTAAAACGAGGTGGGGATGGAGGAGAAAGAGAGGGAGGAGGAGAAGGAAAGGAGTAGACGAGGAGAGGAGGAGGAGGAGAGGAAAGAAGGAGAGGAGGAGGAGGAAGAGAAGGAGAAGGGAAAGAGGAAGACGAGGGAGGAGGAGGAGAAGGAGAAAAAGGAGAAGGATGAGAGGAAGAAGAAGGAGGAGGAGAAGAAGAAGAAGGAAGGGGGAGGAGAAGAGGAAGAGGAAGAAGCGGGAGCGCAACCGAATCCCCGCCGTGCATCGCTGGCATTAAATCGGCATATCGGGTAGCCGGCAAGACGAGGCGGAGGCGCCCAAGGTGGCTGCGGGACGGGTCCGCCTGCACCCGCGCCGGATACTATGGCGACAGCGTAGGATAATGCGAGTGCTTTCAGGACAGAGGTTATTACAGGATGTAGGGATGGCGGCCTCGGCTGGTGACGGGCGGCGGGCGGGCGGCGGCGGTGGGCGTGAGCAGGGGTGGCGGGTGTGTGTGTGCGGGAAGTTGGCGTGGGAAGTGGCGTGAGAGTCGGAGGGCGTAGGGCGCGGGCGTACAACGTGGGAGGAGGAAGGAAGCGACGGAGGGAACCTGCCTGTCGTGTTAGTGCCGGGTCGGCGGCGTCGCGCTCGAGGAGGGAGTGATTCATCTCCTCACAAAGACCGGCAGTCTTCATGATCACAGGGATGCTGCATCTCGTCAAAGGAGGGGGAGGGGAGAGGAGGAGGGAAGGGGGGAAGGGAGGAGGGGAGGAAGGGAGAGGGAGTTGCGTGCAAAACGGTTTGTAATGACTGCATTTGCGGCTCCGTTTTAAATTCCCCGACGCTCTGAAACGGTTCTTTTAGTTCGTCGGAAAGGTCCTGGCGGTTTGTTATGGCAAAGGGGCTTACAGAAACAAGCAAGCGAGATGCACACGGCTTGTCTTTGCCGGCGTGGGAGGTGGTCGTGCGTGCGTCCGTGCGTGTCGACGACTCTGGTATGCGAACCGTATGAACAAGCTCATACACGCCAAATACCACACGGACAACATACATTTCACGCACAATTTTCCTTTCGCAGCGTAATAACGAACCGTGCAGACCCAATTCATTCACACTTGTCACGCTAGGTCTGCGAGGAAGGAACACCAGGCGACACCCACGCCACAGAGAGAACACACACCCTCGACACACTACACTCAGGGTGAAGGGTGTTCCTGCGATTGGACTTTGAACCGTGCCGAGTTTTTTTTCTTCATGCAGTGCTGGTTAGGGTGAGGGTATGAGGGGAAGAGGGAGGGTATTAGGGATGAGGTATGAGGATGGGTATGAGGGAGGAGACACAAAGGTGACGATGTGTGGGAACCGCGTAGGAGGATGCTTGTCAGCGCCTTGTTCCTCGAGCATGACAAGGGTGACGGGAAGGGAGATAGGGGGGAGGGGGTGACTATAGGATGGGGAGGGGAGGGGGGTAGGGGGGATGGGGGTGACTGTGGGGTTAAGGGGGGATGGGAGGAGGAAGGAAGGAGGGAGAGGGGAAAGAGAGGGGGGGGAAGGAAGGAGGAGAGGAAAAGGGAGGAGGAGGGAAGGAGGAGAGGGGGGGAGGAAAGGAGGAAGGAGGGAGAGGGGAGGGAAAGGGAGGAGGAGGAAGGAGGAGAGGGGGAGGGGAAAGGGAGAGAGAGGAAGGAGGAAAGAGGAAGGAGGAGAGGGGGAGGAAGGAAGGAGGGAGAGGGGGACGGTAAGGGGTGGATGAGATAGGGATGTGTTAGCAACAGGAGCAGATGGAGAGGGAGAAGGTAGGGCAGGGGAAGGAGGCGGGGGAGAGGGAGGGGAAGGAAGACTGTGGCAGTGATTTGAACTCGTGCTGATCGCAGGGCGTAGGTGTGACATTCCTGTGATGTGTAGTTGACGTCTGACCTTTAAGGTGTCTTTGTTTCAATCGACCGCAGCCTGAAGTGATTGACTGATAATGAGAGAGCGAGAAAGGGTGGAATGAGATAGATAGGTTAAGTGGGCAGAGTGAGAGAAAGAGATAAAGATAGGAATAGAAAAAAAGGTTGGTTGAATAGAGAAAGCGAAAGAGCTGGAAACGGATAGAAAGGTAGGGAGAGTGGGAAATAGAGAAAGAGAAATAGAAAGAAATGAGGAGAACGAGGGAAAGAGAAAGAAATAGAAGGAAAGAAAGGAGAGACTCCAATGAGGCGATGGGGGAAAGAGAAAGAAATAGAAGAAAAGAAGCGAGTCTCGATAGTGATGAGAGATATAAAAAAAAAATGAAGCTCTTGGCGGTAAAATGATTCCTTCCATTTAGCCGGGACGAGGATGGCCCTAGATGGCAGATCCATTGCAGTTGCACAAGGTCCATTATCGCCCGGCAAGATAGGGTCGGGGCGACGGCGTCTCAAGTGGAGGGAGACTAAAATGGATCCAAACATTCTCGGTCTTTATCTCTCGTCTCGATCTTGATGGACGTGCGCTGTGGAATGCCGGGCCCGCCCCCCTCGAGAGCAATGCGTGTTTGCATGGCTGAGAAGTAGCATTAAAAGGGGGGGAGGGTAGATATTCATTCATCATCTCATGGGTAATGAATAATTTACAGTGAGTTCGCGATGAGATCGAGGCAGACAAGGGCGCGTGAGGGGTTAGCGCGCGAGAGATCCATCCTCCGCGACGGTAGAAGTGAATGGGATAATGAGCCCCATAAGGATAGAGGAGGAATGCCTTTGAAGGAGGGCCAGCGCGAGGGCGTCCGGGTCGCGTCCTCCCTCGTGGCGTTCCTCCCCCGCGGCCGGAGAGGAGTCCTTCGGGTTCCAGTCATTGGGCCATTGTCGTGCTGTTACGATCTGCGGGGAGGCGTGGCGTGGGCGGTGGGGGGGGGGGGCGAGGGATTATCTTGCAGCGCCGGCCTTTGTTGGGCCTTCGCTTCCTTGACGATCGGCGCGACGCTGGCGGAACTTTTTGTCGAGGTCCTTTCATGTGAGAAATTTGGAGAGGCCGGGGGGCGCCTTTGAGCGTCTGATGCCCTTATTGTGAGGTCATGAACTAGGATGATTTAAGAGTAAGGCCTTTCTCATCTTGTTTTCTTTGCCATCTTCAGCGACTAATTTTATCTCCCTTCTCTCTCCCGCAGGACCAGATTCACGCCCGCACAGCCCAAGAGGTGGCCATGAGTCTGGGTCTGGGCGAGGCGCACGGCGTGGTGTGGGCGGTGGCGCCCGTGTGCGCGCTCACGGGCGAGGGCTTGGACGACGCCATGGCCACCCTCAGAACCCTGATCGACAAGGTCCGCCAAGACGCCCGTCGGAGGGACAGGTGGCGCTGAGGTCGCCTGGAGGTGCCCGAGGCGGAGCAAGCCAGGTGCAATCAAACCTTCAACTGTCACCTGTCAGGAAGAGTAGCAGCTGTTATGGATCGTAACACCTGTTAGAACGAAAGAAAGGGCAAGAATGTAACGGCTTCATAGGTAACAACTGTTAGGTTCATAACTATTGTTACACCTGTTGCGGAGGCTGTTAAACATAGTAGCAACTGTTGCGGACAGAGATAACAGTTGTAAAAGACTAACACGAACGTTTTTGTACATTATATTAAAATATGAAACCAACGTAGATCGCACAAGTAGTGTCCTAGTATACGTGCCTTGCTAGACACCAAATGTGAATACTGTAGTTGTATGAGTATTCTCTGCATGTGTACATACAAAAGTATGATAGTTTCTTGAATTCAAGTACTTCACATGACTTTGTTCCTTGGCCAGCTGGGGTTGGAGACCAGCTGCCGTGC